GAGGCCAGCTGGATGGACGGTTCACCTTAGAGAGGTTCTGGTTGGCTGCGAGTCGCCACGGGTCTCGGAGATGCTGAGAGTCAGTAGCAGCACGTGCGTTTGTTGTGACGGTCCGAACTCCCAGCGTGTCATTTTTTTACCTGTGTAGGACGGCGCCTCCTTGTGCCCAGCAAGGGAGGCAGACCGACTTATGGCAGTGATGAGCGGCGCAAGGACGGCGCAGGTTGTGTCTAGCGTCAGATGCGTCAAACCAGATATGCGCCCAGACTGTGCTGATTATCTTGCGAATGGGACTCTCTGTGAACATGCCTAGAAAAGCTCTTTGAATTGCACGGTAGCAGGTGGTCTACGTACGAGATAATTCAATGGTGTATGTGACATTGTGAATATCCGAGAATGTGTTGGAACGAAATTCTCCATGAAAGCAGAAGGTTGTTCGTGTAGTGGTGGTGGCGGCGGGCTTCGACTTATTTACAGTGGCGTCGTTAAACCAGCACCCGTCACATGGGTCCAGGCCGTCAGTGTTACGGATCGTATCCGGTTTCCTTAACTATGAGTACTTCAAGGAGCCCTGGCGCGTATCGAGAACACGCGTGATCTAGTCAACTGCATCCCGTAATGAAGAACATTGAACGGGAGTGCTGTAATGTCAATGATTCCTGTGATGTTCGTCAATGTGAAATATGTACCGCATAAAGGCTGTAGTATAGTGTGAAACATGAAGAAAATACTGCTGCTTCTGGCACTACAATTTATCACGGCTTGGTCAATAAATTGGCTGTAAGTATTTCGTGAATGCCTCTCAGACTGTGCTGTATGTTATGTCAGTATTAATGTCCATTTGAAAAAATATAAATCTAACGAAGAGACGGCTCTAGAATGTGGTCTTCCCATCAGACGACACAGGTAAGTGGGTTAGCCCTTTCAAGACGGGTTATCTCGTCAGAGAAGGAAGGACAGAGAAACAATGATGCAATTATAGTGTAATATTTGTTGTGAACAGTGCGTCCTTCATGATTTATACACACAATACGAAGACTATATCGTTTTCGTTCATATTTCAATGGTGTAGGCAATTTTTTTTTTACTTAATTATGGGTATTTAATGTCAACACGGGAACAGAGAAAGAAAGAGAGATGCAGAGAAAAGAATAGACATTTTGTGCTGCTTGTAAATTTGACAGTATCGCCTACGATATAATACGTTGTTAGGTAGTATTTGTAATACCATGAAGACTTGTATGCAACCTCTCTTAATGTTGCGATACTTTTTACTCGCGTATATAATTGGAATCTCCTTTTAGGATATCACTATTGCATTAAAATGAAAGGGAAATCGAATGACATAGACTGTTAAGAATACTTGATTTGTAGCTAGTTTTTCTCTATAAAAAGTCGTTTAACTAAAAGTGCACTCAAATATTTCATCATCCATATTCTCTCTATTGCAAAATAAAAATTCACATGCGTTTTTTCACTTGTGTCGATGTTGTTCTTTATCATTATTTTCCCGTAAGAAAAGAAAAAGAAAACTACATGCCTAAAATAAAGTAGATGCACATGATTCTGTAACAAGATCAGTAATCCACCCCATGGGTCCACTACCGAAATCTGAAACAGGATACGTGTCACACGCGCTCTATAGGTTTTGCGTAACGAGGCGGCATAGTGTTCAGTCGTGCCGTCTCCCTAACATACTTTCGTACCATCAATATGACAGGATCTTACTGATGCTTATAGCCAAGTCGTATATTCCCCGCACGTCATCTTCACTCTACTACGCGGGACACAAGGCCGATTGTTCCACTAGACTTGAACAATTTGGCACGCACGCAGGACGACGAGCTCGAATACACATGAATAGGATAAATGACGCTTTGTACTGACGCAAGTAATTTCCAAAGAAATGCCTCTCTTAATTTACCGATTTGTTGACTGCAGAAACGAAAGCCATACACATATTAAAGCGTCCGTTCGTGTGCTGTCAGTTAATTTCATGTACATTGGTAAGTTTAACACCATTACACACAAATGTGAACACACATATATAGCGAATACAACAGACACAAAATTCATTTGAATAGATGAACCATTACTTCTTTACATACTTGCAGGCTACAAACAGATCCAATCGTATATTGGAGTTTATATGACGTAGATTGGAGAAGTTTAACAAAGTAAAATTAATAAACAGTTATAAAGTATTGACTACGTAGGAAGCAATTATTCGCATGCAGGATTTCTTATGCATTACTCATACGGGAATTCTGGTCTGTGGATAGTGTAAGCTTAAAGCGTAAACTATATCAGTCTCCCTCTCTCATTCCATACACACACACACACACACACACACACACACACACACACACACACACACACACACACACACACACACACACACACACCACACACACACACACACATACACACACACACACACACACACACACACACACACACACACACACACACACACACTATATATATATATATATATATA